TTTTCAAACGGATAATTTTGTTTTCAATAAAAGAAATAAATTAGATAATTTCTGAGCTCAAATCTGCCATATTTCATAAGATATTAATGTTAATATGTAATTCTGGTGAGTTTGAAGTGAAAATTTGTTTTAGTTTTTTAGAGATACATTGTTAAAAAAGGTGACATGGTTGCTAGATTTTGAATAACTCGCTGTTTTGGCAGTCTTGATATGGCCTCCTTCCATAAGTTTATTACTGTTTGTTCTTGTTGCAAGCTGTGCACCATCTTACGTTAGTGTTAACACTTTTAGCATTGTAAACACCAGTATTGCTAGCATTGTAAACACAAGTAGTAAGTAATCAAATACATTGTTTGCAAGAATCTTAAAACACAATGATGCCAAATGGCTTTAAAATACAACGGAAACAGTAACCCGGAAATTTAGGCGGTACCGAGCTTACAGCGTTCCCTAGTGTAGAAAACACCATCCATATGCAGCTGAAAATTACATTAAACATATTTTTAAATAAAGCGTAATGGAAATTTTAAGAATTAGTTATGATTATTAAATAAGAGAAATATTAAGAAAGGGAAAAATATTGTTGTACATTCTATGGATGGTGTTTTCAGTACAAATGTAAACAATAACAATCTCGAGCTGTATGACTGCTCTAGTTCCGGCTCGAAAGTTTGCAGCTGCTTACTACATGTTATTCTGCGAGGCTATATTTTCAAACGCATAATTTTGTTTTCAATAAAAGAAATAAATCAGATAATTTCTGAGATCAAATCTGCCGTATTTCATAAGATATTACTATTATCCTGTAATTCTGGTGAGTTTGAAGTGAAAATTTGCTTTAGTTATTTAGAGATAAACTCCTGTTTGTGAAAATTGCAACACCATGAAGGAATCGTCATAATTGAACGAAATTTAATACACAATTGAGTGGTAGTGGTACAATTAAATGATTAAACTTTCAAAGCAGACAAACAATAACAAGAGATCGAAATCAGTATTTTGAGTAACCACCACGCTTCGCAATAAGTGCTGCTACACGACGTGGCATGGAGTCCTGCAAACTTTGAATGTCTGTCTGAAGAAGAGAATTCCATACTGTTTGTATGCGTACCCAAAGTTCGTCTGTTGAAGTAACAGGACGAGGATTACGAGCAAGACGCCGACCAACGATATCTCACACGTGTTCAATCGGCGACATATCCGGGGAATATGCCGGCCAAGGAAGAAGTTGTACCTGTCGCGATGCAAGGAAGGATTGAACAGTCCTAGCAGTATGAGGGCGGGCATTTCCCTGTTGAAATACAGCACCTGGCAAGGCTTGAAGGAAGGGAACAGCTTGGGACTGTAGAACTTCACTGATGTACCGGTTTCTGTTCAGATTAGCCACAATTCGTAGCAACTCAGATCGTTCATGATATGCTATGGCACCCCAGACCATAACTCTGGGTGTTCGTCTACTGTGGCCTTCGATAACGCACTCCGGAAGATGGCGTTCGCCGGCATAGCGTCTGACACGAATGCGGTCATTGTGGTACCAAAAATTGAAGCGAGATTCATCAGAAAACATGACACGCTGTCAATCAGCAAGCCAGTCCCTATGCTGGTTGGCCCATTGCAGCCGCAGGTGGCGAAGGTTTAGCGTGAGGAGGATCCTGTATAAAGGAGTCCTTGCGTGCAATCCACGCTGCAGCAGACGTCAACGAATTGATAAAGCACACAATGAAACACCTGTAGCTATTGACCACCGTGCTGCCAGTTGTCTAGAGGGAGCCGTACGGTTCGTTAGCGCAACGCCGAACAGGTGTCTATCATCGCGAGCTGACGTGACATTTCGGGATCCACTCCGAGTTGATTTCCGAGTCCAGATTTCCGAGTTGTCCGACACTCATCCATCCACTGCTTTTAAACACGCATCACTGTGCTGCATTTTGCGCTGCAAACGATCGGCTACTGCACGATAAGAAAATCCAGCTTCACGAGGGCCGATGATTCTCCCCCGCTTAAACTCCGTAAGTTGCTGAAATCTCGCTCTCTTTCGTCGAATAGGCATAAGTAATGACTAAGCTAACGTTTACCACTAGCAGATAACTACCGATAACCATACTCGCTTGCCTACAGCCGTCTATTTATTCGGATCCATCTGCCGTTCAGAGGGCGCTGCTCAGCATACGCATGCGCTACGGGTCTGAAATTCTAATCATTTGTATATCATGCTCTACTTTGCATTTCCTGAAAATTTCAGCTCACTCGCTTAAGTCTTTCATGGTGTTGCAATTTTCACAAACATGAGTTTATATTGTTAAAAACTGTGACATGGTTTATAGATTTTGAATAACTCGCTTTTTTGTCAGCCTTGATTTGGCCTCTTTCCATTTGTTTATTACTGTTTGTTCGTGTTGCAAGCTGTGCACCGTCTTACGCTAGTATTAGCATGTTGTTCGAGGAGCAAGATTAAAATTATACATTATAATTCAGGTTTAAATTTGAAAGTTGACTTATATTATTGACAAGGTAAGAAGTCTCTTATAGCGATTTTATTTCATATGTTAGGTTTACATATTTATTATTAATCAAAACGCATGTTACTACTACTTAACACTACTATTATGCGACACAACAAGAGCCACTTCGAGTTTTAGAATTCATTGTAAACTAAGTAATAGGTAATCAAATACCACGTTTGCAGGAATCTTAAAACGCAATGATCACGTTGTGAGCCAAATGGCTTTGAAATACACCGGAAACAGTAACCCAGAAGTATAAGCGGTATAGCTTGCAGCGCTCCCTAGTGTCGAAAACATCATCTATACAATTGAGGAAAGGGAAGGGGGTAGAGTCAGGACATGGAACCGGTTTTCTCCCTGGATGGCGTGCGCTACATAACTAATAAGCAAGCTATAAGCAAAAAACAGCAAAGAGCTCCTAAAACGCCAGTTAGTCATCATCATTAAAAATAAAACAACTAAACCCCTTTTGCAGAATATCTTTTATAAATCTAAGACTCAGTTTTTTGAGTTTTACATTCATAAAAGAGCATTTCTTTCTGATATAAAACAAGTCTACTTGCAAACTTTTATAACTGCACAAATTCAATATATACAAACCGTACGAATTTTAGAATTTAGATTCAGAAACTATTAGTTGAGGGACGTAACTTTTCATGTTACATGTTGTTGTTATTTTCTTTTCACAAAAGAAAATGTTGTGTAGTTAAAAATTGTGTAATTTGAAGAAAGGAAATATATAACACCTGTTTAGTGTTTTGTCTCTTTGCATTCATATGCTTGATCGGTAGCTTGTTTCTGTATTTCATAGAATGGAAGAATACGAAACAGTATTATTGGTAAAAAATGAAGTTTTTGTTTTTCAAATCCCACCTAGAGCGACAAATCGTGGCTATAGGTAAGGGTTTCTTATTTAAATGTAGTTAAGCAATTTTAAAAAGCAATGTAAGACGCTATTTTATTTATATACTTACTCACTTATCTTATTTAGCCTCGATTTTCTTACATCTGACTGTGTCTTTCTTGATTTTTATTTTATGTGGTATTTGCAATGCAGAGGAGATTTCCGTATCGTGATTTGTGGCAGAATAATAGCTAAGTCCCTGCAACTTCTGCAAAACGACCCACGAGAAACTTTAAAAAAAAAAAAATACATAATAGGAGACCAACTAGACAGGTATAACTCATAGAAACCTCCTCCCCCGGCGAGACTCTATTTTTTTTTATATTTAATATTTGTTTAAAGGATTTGCAAGTTTAAAATCCATTTGGTGTGTAGTTCATGTTCGATGTAGAACATGACAAGTAAATATCCTAATGCATCAATTTTAAATAATAGGTGATTTGCTGAACACAATGTAAACTGCATTTAACTGTGAGGGGGTGTATCTGTATTGTTATTTGATTGTGCAGCATTATAACTTGCCAAAATTGACAACAATAAAAAATGTGGTTTAGTTTAAAATGAATTAATTATTATATATGGTTACAAGTTATATTTCTTTACCTTTCGTATAAAATTTGGTTACGAGTTATACCCTTCGAGTCGGTCCTTTTCTGTGATTCTTTTTTTTAGTTTCTTGCCAGGTGCTGCCCGGAAGTTGCCAAGACTTGGCAATTGTTCTTTCACTGATATTATTTACGAAAATCTCCCTGCTTGCAAGCCACTGCTCAGAAGTTTCCAAAGCTTGGCAATTATTTTGGCTTTGATGCCAAAATGGAAATATTCCTCAATAAGTAGTTTTGTGTTTACTATATGGTATTGGCTTTATTAAGAGTGAATATAAATTTAAAATTAAGTTTCAAAGAGCTTTCTATTTACAGGTTGGAAAATTTTTTAATGCCATTCTTGCTATTTGTATTTAATGTTACTTTTATAAAACTTCTAATGATAGAATGCATTTCCAGAGTTTATTATAAACTTAACTGCATTATGGTTGTCCCAGATTTTTTATTTCAGTTATTTCTTCTTTAAAAACATTTTGTGGATTGACGAGGATTTTTGGTAATTTAATTTTACTTGCCAACTACAAATGCCCAGGTGGCAAATAGATTTTAAACTTGCACATTTTTATAAAAAAACAGGTAGAGATTTGCCCAAAAAACTTCAGAGAAATGCTTTTCGAGTGGGTTGTTTTCTGTGATTTTTTTCTTTTAGTTTCTCGTAGACAAATGTCTGTAAGTCACCAGACTTGGCCATTATTTTGTCATCATTAATTGCTATTCAAAAATATCCCTATATCAAATATTAACTATTTGATCTCAATAATAACTCAAAAAACATACAGCGTATCTGTGCACCTGGAAAGTCATGAAAAATCTTCGAATGTCATGGATTTCGGTCTTGAGAAAAAATTTTCATAAAATTTCATGATTTTAACGATTTTTAAAAAAAACTCAGTCATGGATTTAGGTTGTCAAAAAATCTAATTTTTAAATAGGAAATTACAGCCCCCCCCCTCCTGTATCATTGTGTTCCGAATATCTGAATTTGCAACAAAAACCCCACTCACAGTCATATTTTATTAAAATGTAAAATGTTTTTATCACGTTCTTTTAAAATTATGGTGTTCTGTCATAAAATGAAATAAAGGACATCATCTCTAGAGCAATTATCTTTTAAACTTCTGTGATTTCAGAATTTTTTACTATTTATTTTTTTTATTTTGTGAATTTAAAATTCTAGCTGAAGCAAGCCAGTCATTGGCGATTTTTTTTTCGAAAATGAGAAGAGAAAAATCACTAGTATTTCTTTCCTTTCGGATGTACAAGAAAATATCTTTAGAATATAATTCTGCAGAAAAAAAAGAAGAAAAAAATTTTGCTTTTGTATTTTTTTCTTCTATTTTATTGCTTCAATTCTTTCTTAACTCTGTTTTTTAGTTTAAAATCTATAAATATGAAGATGCAGAGTATAGTAGTTTTGGTTATACCTATGATTTCAATTAATTTTGTTACATTGCTTTTTTAAATTTATTGTGTTTTTGTCGAAGAAAATAGTAACTTTGTTTAGTCAGGAAAAGTTCTTGGAATTAGTCATGATATTGAAAATCTAAAATGTAGCAGATAGCCTGAACATAGCTCTTAGATTAATAATGCATAAGATTAAGTTAATTATGTGTTATTAATAAGTCTTACTGAGTTTATTTTCTGTTTGTTATTTTATGATATACAGTCAAAAGATCTTTAACATGTAGATATGTAAGGTTTTGCATTATAAGAAATTTTGTATAACAGAGATAATTTCAAATATCATTAAATTTTCCTACTAAACATTGCTATGTATATAGAGAACAGATCATTTTAAATTTTTTTAAATAATTTTTTAATACAAATTTTTTAAAGCACTATCTCTAATTTTGTATTAGTTGTTTATTGAAAACAATTGAAATTATCTAGAGCATCAAAAATAAAATTCTACAAATTTTATTATTTTGATTTGCTTTAGAGATTGTGAAATTAATGGTACTTATGGAAAATTATGGTTTATAGAATTGTGTTACACATGAATCTTTGGGTACACTAGATATATTATAATATGCTAGTTTTAAAATAGTTTTTTATCCAAAGTTAATCCTGCCAATTATTTTAAAACAGAAAGTTTTATCTTTTAGAGCTGCTGATTGGAAGTTGGATAGTCCTGCCTGGACTGGTAGAATGCGTATAGTATCAAAAGGAAAGAAATGTTTTATTAAATTAGAAGATAAAACTTCTGGTAATATAGCTAAATATTTAGTAATTTTATTAAAATTTAATATCTTTTTTTATTTTAATTCTCATGGCAGAATATTTTATAGGAAAACTACAATAGAGCTGAATGATATGTCGTGAAGTGTTGATATTTTTTAATTATCACAATAACGATGTTAAAAATATGTTATGAATATGATAAATATCGATCCCCCTATAAATATTGACTCATGATAAATACCAAAAATAATGACACTCGAATTAAAACAAAAATCCCTAGAAATTATTGTTTGTGCCTGCACCCAATGTTTTTTTTCTCGCAATCACTATTGACCCATTTTTATTGCAGCGATTTTTGTCACATGCCGAAAAGAAAATCAAGTTTTGCGAAGATCAATAAAATTTGAAGTTCAGTTGTATTACAGTCATTTTTTAACAACACAAAACATGCATTTTATAAATAAGAAAATGGCATATCTATTTTGAATGTCTAACCCCAAGCAACAGCTTTGTTATAATTCTGCTGCAAGTTTGATAAAAATATAGCAATATATATACTCAAAACTATTATTTTATGATGCTAAATGTGCATATCTTAAAAAAGATACTATAATTTAATAAACATATTGAAGTTAGTCACTTATAAAAATGTGTATCCTATGTTTTGTTCTTTCAAAATACCTTAAAATTTATCCAATCTTATCATTGTTTCAGGGAGGGCACTTCAAACTGTATTTGTTGTTATTTTTCAAAGAAATATTTCTTAACAAAATTTAACAGTTATGAAAATATTAATCCGCCATTTTGAACTAGAACGATTCAAGCAGGAAGGGGAAATTCGTGTCATTCTGGAATAAAGCTTAAAATGATCTAAATCTAAGAAGCAAAAAATAAATAAACATTATTTTTAATGGGAATAATGTTTTAGTATTAGAATATCTAATCAATAAAATATGAAATATTAGAAAAAAAATATTATTGCTTAAAATATAGAAAACGAAAAAAAGTTGACATATGAAAATAATAATCCGCCATTTTTAACTAGAATGTTCAAGCAAGAAAGGGAAATTCCCATCATTCATTAAGGTGGGTAGGTGGAGGAGAAAAATTCATTTCCTCCGTATTTGTGAAAGAAAATAAGTGTAAAGAGGAGATCATTTAAGTTAAGGGTGGGGAAGTAACAAATGATTGTTTTCTCTCCAATCATTGGCTATCAATCAAGCATAAAGGCGGGGCACGCTGATCGGGTTCTCTTTATTTTTTCTTCTATGACTGAAAGAATCTGCTAAAGAAAGAATGTTACCCCTTTTTCCCCCGCCTCCTAAATATTACATGGTATGGGGAAAAATGAATTTTTTGTTTCTCAAGCACGTGTATCCTTTTAGACCAGGGTTTCTCAACCTGTGGTTGGTTCATGGACCCCTTAGTGGTCCATGGATCATATTTTGGGGGTCAGCCGACTTCTCCTAATTTTCAAAACGCTTGGATCAATAATATTTAAATAACATTGATCTTTTTTTTCTTCTAAAAGGTGAAAATACATATATATTTTAAACTAGGTGATCGAGATACCCCAAATTAAGTGCGGATTACACACAGCCCTCTAATATCCCTGTCATATTTTTAACATCCTGCACTGCCCGGCTTTCAGTTTGCACCATCAGGGGCTGTGATGATGTCTGCTGTGCTATTTTTACCATCCCCTATCAAGCTACGCACATTTGTCACCTTGTCCAGGTTACTAGACCTAGAATTTTTTATTAAGAAGAAAGCCCAGTTTTTGAAATCTGGAACATTAACCAAACTTGAATTTGGTTTTCCACAAAATCCTTCGATTGAGACATCTCTCAAAGTTGCATATCATTTTGCCAAAAGCAGGAAATCGCATACTATTGGAGAGACGCTAATTAAGACATGTGTGCTGGAAATGGTTAAATTAGTTTATGAACTGGAACATAGAAAAAAACTTGAGTCTATTCCATTGTCAAATGATGTGATACATTCAAGAATAGTTGAAATTTCTTGCAATATCTTGAAGCAGATCATCGATAAATTGAAAGCATCGCCATTTCCCTTTAGTATGCAACTGGACATCTCAAATTGTAGTCAACGTCTTGCAGGGGGGTGATCCGTGACTTCTTAAAATTTTTTTAAAGGGGTCCATTGTACTAAAAAGGTTAAGAAACACTGTTTTAGACCTATTCAAATTTTTCCTTTTGACTCCCCCTCCACCTTAACGCTTGCCCCGTTTACCCTTTTCAACAGTATTTCTTCTTTCAATAAAAAGATTCCAGGAAATGTCTCTTTTACTAGCCACCTGCATGGGAAGGAGGGGACTCAGTTGCGGTCTTTTAAAAACAAATCTCCCTCTTTTTCCTACATTCCAAGGGAGGAGCTTCACTAACGGTCACTCAATGCTCTTGGTAGATCTTCACTTCTCCTTTCTGGTGATTTATGGGTTCGATGCATAAATCATAGGTTCAGTGCAAGCTAGAAAAAGAGAAAATGTGTCAAAAGACCTTTTTTTTTAGGAAAGGGGAAGATGGAGAGATGTTTGTTTATTTTGATTGTTAAAAAGTGTCCGGGAAAGGGACGTCCGGATATGGGACTTTACACTGTATCTTCTTACTTTACCTTATTTTTGTATTGATTTTTGAATATAATTTTTAATTTTCACAAATTATGTCTAAATTTTCACTAAATAGGTACCTCTCATACAAAAACCTCTCATAAAAACTTAGACAGACCCCTGCCCCTATTAGTGCAACCCTTTCATTATAATGACCACTACATGAAGTCCTATCTCATAGAAGCACAGTTATTTTAACACCAAAGACAAAGAAAGACCAAACCGAAATGTTCATTTCAATATAGTGATCAAATTTCATTTCATAATTTTTTTAATTCCCAGAAAATCAAAAACAGGTGTAAGACATTATTGTGCTTTTAAAACTAACAGTTTCCCATTGATAACAAGTCTCAAGAAAATTGTTGAAACCATTATTTCTTTTGATATTACCCGCTTAATACGCATGAGACACATTGAATTCTCTATGAATGGAGAAGGAGTGACAGGTCCACCTATTCTAAACCTATGACATTCTGGGAAAAGTATGGTTAAAAAAAAATTGTGAAACATGGATTATTTATCATTATTAAGAATTTGAAGTGCATATTGCTACGTCATTTAGAAATCAGAGTTTCCTGTATAATCATAACCTTTTAAAATTTCTTCCCAAAGGGTTCAATATATTATTTTGGTTTGAAAATTGTACTCACTCTTTTTTTGAAGTGTTGTAAGAAGTGTTTTATTTTGGAGTTAAAAAACATGGTATTATTCACTTCTAATTGATTTTAGTTTAGCTAATTCTCTGGATGTATATTATGTAGCAAAAATGGCTGCTCCTAAGCAATGAAATACTATGTGTTTAGTGCAAAAATAAATTTTTTTAAAGGAAGTGGATAGAAGAAAAAACACAATTTCTTTATTATTCAAGATTCCTAAGCACACTTCTCTTAAAATAATTAAAAATCATGATGTCATGATATAATGTGAACAGAAAAATAAAATGTTCTAATTTCATGGTAGCTTTCATTTATAGCTGAATGGTAAGTGTAGCTTAAAACCGAATCACCCCACATGGGGCATCCGGGAAACACTTAAGTCTGTGTCTGTATCCTATCGGTACAAGAAAACAAGTAGAAAGAATGGCGTGGCAATGAGGGAGGGTAACGTAACTACTTCGATAAAGAAAAGAGGCACGCGAAAGCAACCCTGAGAGAGACACCTTAGGTTGCTGGAGTGAGACGTAGCCGGTTAGGTGCCACGCAATTAACAACATTGCCTAGGATTTAACATTTGATTTAGTTCTGCCATTTTTTTATTCTTTTAAGAAATGCTTGTTTAGTGTTGTATTATAATAGCTTTCTTTGTGAATATTATTGTCTTTTTATAATAATTGCAACAGAGTGATAAGGGAAAGTGTTGCCTAGGGGATAACATTTGATAAAGATCAGCCATTTTTTTAGTTTATAAATACTTATTTTTATTAAGAAATTATTGTAACATCATATTTTAAACAATTGCAATATTTGACAAAAGTTGATCCAATAAAAATGCGCCAAATGTTATTGATGAGAAAAAATCACCAAACATCAGGCGCAGGTGCATAACAAATCATTTCCATTTATTAGTAAATTTATCTTTTTCTTTTAAAATAAAACATGGTTTGTAGAAAAGTTTTATCAAAGTGTGGAGTCAAAAACCTATGCTTTTTTGGGGTATTTTCACAAATGTTTTAAATTTTTATTCCTGCAATCTTAATGAGGTAATGCAGTTTGCTACAAACAAAAGTTTATTGCTTGTAACTATTTGTAACTGGTTTTTGTTGCAATGTAAATTTTAAGATTACTATACTATTATTTATTTTTCTTAACAACGGATTGGTACATAAGAATTACTCAATTAAAATATCCCAAAATTTTTCATTGTTTTAGCCCGGGTTGAGTTCCAGAGTTTATTAGAATAAAATTTAAACTTAATCATTTTACTCTGTTACCATTTCAACTTAATATACAATTTTGTTTCTTAAACTTCTACTCAACTTTTGAATACTATAAAATTAGTTAAATATTTTTTCCCAGTTTATTTTGTAATATTGTGTAAAGTTAATTGATAATAGCAGTTTTGTTTTCATTATTTTAATTAAATGTTTTGACTGGAAATAGTTTTATGTAAAGCTTATTATTAAAGTAAATGTAACTGATTTACTTTTTAATAATTTGCTAAACGGTTAAATTACATACTATCTCCAATATATTTTTCTATAAAATTTAATGCTATAAAGTAATATTGTAGGATTGCTTTATAATTAAAGAAAACCATTTCTAGTTTAAGTCTTCAACTTGGAATAATAATGAAACCAAATTATAATAACAGTCGTGAATAATATTAAGAAAGGTTGATAAATGCATATATATGGGTTATTTTTTTTCAATTTGTTAACTTTTGCATCCTTAAGCATTATTTCACATTAAAATATTTATATTCATTATTTAATGGTATAGTTTGCTTAAAATGCTCACAAAGAACAAAAAAAGTGCACCAGACATATTTTGTATTTACAATATATTTTTAAGTAAATAAAATGTCGGTAAATTATCATCGCCATTCCATGTCCCTGGCTCACATTCTCACATAATATTTAATGTAATCTTTTTGTGGCAAATGTGTATCATTTAACCTATTTATTATTATGACAAGAGTTAAATTTTTTCTTCTTCTAATAGCATAATAATTTCTGTTTTATTTGCATTCTTAATTTCTACCTCTCCTTAAAAGAAGTTTGGGATGATTACTATATGGAATATGTTCCAGTTAAAAAAAATGTTAAATGAACTAATTTTGAAGACCAACTTTGATTTGTAAAGCTTTTGAAAAAAAAATTCAAACATTTTTCATATTTAAATCTGTTTAAACATTTTTCATATTTAAATCTGTTAATAATTTTTAATTTTTTACAGGAGAGCTTTTTGCAAAAGCACCCATTGATAAATATCCAGGCATTGCTGTTGAAGCTGTCATGGATTCTAGTCGCTATTTTGTTTTAAGGATTGAAGACGACAATGGTAAAAAAAATTTTTATGGTGATTTTTTAAGAAGAAAATTTACTTTTTTTTTTACAAATTTATTTTACGATTTTTTTAAAATTCTATATAGATATCTTTAATGTTAAGTATTCATAAATTGCCATTACATTTTCAAAAATTTGATTATTTTGAAATTAATATTCATATAAGTGAGAGTTTCTCAATTGAAACATAGATTTATAAAAGGATTTTATGATTTTCCCTAAGCTTTAGATGTCTGTCATATGTATAATGTAAAACAAAACTTCAAAATCATTTAGAACGAAGTTCTACTCATAAATATAGTCACTTATTTATGTTGTGGGGACATGTAAGGGCTGATTGTGGTCCGGAAAAAATCCGGATTTCCAGATTTTTCGCTAACAGTGTTCCGGAAGTTTCCGGAGATCTAAGGTTCAGACGTTTCAAAAAATCATTGATCACAGAAGTTTTCGGAAATCAAATTTTCAAAGGTGGAACTTAAAAACACAGTTTATTTTATTTGTTTGTAAGGGAGAGCCAGAGATATACTTTATAAGCTTATATTCATGATTAATATTCATCTTTTATCAGTAAATAATTATTATAATCATAAACTCAAGAAAGAAAGACATATTTGTAAATTTTAATTGCTTCTCCAGGTCATCGTAGGTATGTGTAAATGATATATGTATGTGTAAGATTTTAAAAGTATATTGTAAGTAAACTAAGAAATATTGAGAAAAAGGAAAAAAAAACATGTTTGGATTTTTTTTCTAATTTTTCAATTTAAACTTTTTTTTAAACTCAAGAAATTTTCCGGAATTTTGACTTGGGCTCACAATCACCCCTGGACATGTCAATTCCCTCATTGATTCCAAGAGCTTGTTTTGCAAAATTTTGCAAAAGGAAAAAGAATAATAAAACCTAGAAAATTGTGTAGAAGTTTTTAGAAACTTTTAAACAATTTAATACTAGCAACGTAATATTTTAATTGAAGCTCCCTTTGTTTTATTTATAATATTGAAACTATAAAGAAACTAAAATCATATTTTTTCCAAATGCAAGATTAATAATATCTCGATTTTCCTGATAAAAATAGTCTTATATCTGTATTCCAAAATTTTTTTAATGTTTGTTTCAAACATTCCATTTCTGTGTTCACACAATTTTAAAATAATGATTTGGATTTATTTTTATAATTTCTTTCAGTAGAAAAGAAATAGGAGAAACTAAATCTATCAATGTTAAAACTAATATAATTTCATTCAAAAAGTAATATATGAAAAAATAGAAGTATATGTAACTATACATTTTCTGAGCTCCAAAATACGCCTGGTATAAAATTTAAATACAACTGTGATGATGATGCGGCTCCTACATTATTACAAAGCACTCCTTTTTACGGATATAATCATGTGAGCTGATGAAGACATTATATCTTTTATTTTCCGGATTTTTATAAATTTTTTCTTCCTTTTTTCGGATTTTTTTTTGGTTTCTTATTTCTTTTTCCATTGTTCTGTAATTTTTTCCATGTTTTTTCTACATTTTGAACTTATATATATATATGTAAAATGATGCAGTCGGACCGAGCAGGAAAACAGACACAGGATTTTAATGAAAGCAAAAGAATTTTATTATGTCATTCTTTGTTGAGTGGCGAGAGAAAAATCAAGTTTACTCCATCGACGATCAGTCTTTCTGGTAGGGAAAATCTTGCAAAAAATCCGAAAATGTCTCTGTTTAGGGAAAAGAGGAAAATCTTAGAAATTACTAGGTTTAAGAAATAGGTCGAGTGATTCCCACGAACATTAAAGAAATGTCTTTATTTAAATTTATGCATACTTGGGCCAAAAATAGATTTAAGAACAGGATGTGGCTTTTAAAAGTGTGGGAAAGCATTTTGATTTGAATTATTAATTAGGATTATGTTTTATAGGGAAGAATTAACATAAAAAGATTAATATAAGCTTTTTATGTTACGCACACACACACACATATACGTTTTTTTAAAATTGAAATTATTAATTTATTATTTTTAAAGAGTTATACTGGGATTGCGACAAGTATTTTTATTTCAGTTTTAGAAACTGATTAAAAAGGTTTACAAACTATCTATTTAAGATCAACTTATAAATTATATGAATTTAAGCTGCTGAATCGAAGAATAAATTTCAAAATTCTATTTATTGTGAATTGATGGGTATATATTTTAGCATATCTAAGAATTGCACAATATGGATGTTTCTTTTAATTCTGTGTTACCTTTAGTGAGTATCTAGTGCTCTACATTTTATAATGAAATTGCTAAAAAATAATTTGCTTATTTGATTATAACTCTACATAGTAATTTTAACACTGAAAACAAAATTTCTTTTTAATTTTATTTTTAAAGAAAAGAATGATATAGGGAATATACAATTAAAAAATATATACCAAAATTGCATAATCATTCAACCAAGTGAGCATATTTAAAGACATAGATGAGTTTTCGCTCAAGTTTCTGCCTTCCTATTTTAGTGTTTTAATGGAAAACAAAACAATTTCTTAAAATAATTAAATTGAATAAAAATACATGTCTTTACTTTACACTTTATACTTTTAGTCAACTTAACACTTTTAGTCAACACTTTATATTACCACTATAGAATATTTTTTAATATTTAATTTATTTTTAATATTTAACTTAATTTTTAATTTATATTTTATATTTATTATTATTAATTTTTACACTCTCATTTATATTTCAAATGTACCAAAAACTGATTTAAATTTTTTTGCTTTTTGATGATATTTTGTAGAGTTCATTAATATATACTGCATCCTAAGTGAAACCTAATTTTGATAGCTTTTTGACTCTTTAATTTAATAATAATAATAAAAAAACTTTTTGCATTTGTTGTTTTTAAATATAACTAAAATACATTTCTTTGTGAGCATTTCCATTTCCAAAACAATATTTACAAATATCTTTTAAAATATATGCACTAATTTTAGAACTATCCTCAATTTACCCCTTTCTGGGATAAAGTGGGTGAATCAAAACATGTCATTTTGACTGCATTACTGAAAGAAAACATTCAAACTAACTAAATAAGTTATGCTTCATCCGTATAAATCCATTGCATATAAAAATTTTATAGTTTGGTTTTAGAGGCTTCTTTAATAAAAACTTAATTTTATATTGACCCGACTCCACCTGAGAAAATACCTTTCTATTTTGAAAAATTTACACTAAAATGACTTTGTTCATTAAATTTTAGGATATCAGATTACATTTATGGCAAAAACTACCAGTGTTGCGATCCTTATTTATGTTTTCTTACACGTATAATGTATGGATTAAAAATTCTATTTTTGATGTATAAAACCCCCTCATAATTTCTTAATTATTAGTTCTATCGGCTATGTTTTGTACTCAATTGATTCAGTGTGATAAATGCTTGGGATCTAAAATTTTGCTTGTATATATAGCAATACAGACATGTTAATAAGTTTGTGTAACTCTCAGCTCTATTGATTTGGCTGTGACTTCATTCAATTTAATGTAAAAAATTACAGAAATATATTACTTATCCAGATAGCTAGCTACATGTTAGTTTTACCTCCCCCCCTTCAAACAGAGATTAAAACTCACATCAGATATTCATATTGGGCCTAAATCACATTTTTTAATACAATTTGCAAATTTCACACATGGCCTTAAAATTTAATGCCTTATTATATACAAACTAAATAAATTACAGCTATAGATCCACAAGTTGATTTTATTTCTAGTTTACTTTTGGTTAAGGCCTCACATCTAATGTACTCCATATGTGAGATACTGCTAATTTGTATGTATTTATTGAAATGCTTACCTTTGTGGTTCACTGTTGGCATGAGTCGATTGTGATGGTCGAAATCTAAGGAAATAGCCTTATTTCGAAGATTTTTGACTGATCTGTGACTTTCGAGGAAAAGGTCCTCTGCTAGTATTTACTTGAGTTGAACAAAATAATGGAAATACTTTTATACTAACTCCTTTTTTCATATTTCACGAAATTTCATAAATCTAGCTTAAATATTCATGGATGGATATTTTTATAAGAAAAAAAACTAATTTTTTGACTTATGTTTTCTTACTTATAACTGCAGAAATAGTCTGTAAAGTTTAAAAAAAAAATTAATTTTTTTAATTAATAATAAAATTATCACTTTAAAATTTGAAAATTCTTTAAAATTTGTGCAAGATATAAGTATTTCAAGTAATATTTTCATATTGCGCACAAAAAACATTTTTAAAAAAAATTTCATAATTTGTTTTGAATCATATTTGATAACTTATGAAAAAAGTCTGTCTTGAAATTTAAAAAAAAATGCTATTCATTTTTTAAGTAGTTTTTGTTCATTTCGAAGGAAAGCTTTAGATGGTGAAGGATTTTCCACTGATTCAGTTTTGTTCTATTGAACAAGATCTATTAAAAATGACATAACATTGTGCGTATAGTTTTTTAAAGGTGCTTATTTTCGTTTTTTGAAAGCCCTTAAAGGTGCCTTTTTTCATTGGGTGTTTTTAAAAATTGCTTAATTTTCCCTTTTCAAGAATGAGATTCTTTTCCATGTCAATTTTCGCCACATATTATGCAAAAGTGTGCTTTTCTCATTGTTCTATTCAATGTTTTCTTTTATTCAACCACAATCTATTTCAATGTACTGTCGGTCCATAGCGTATGAAAGCGCCAATAATTTTACATGTTTGATGTAATACTTGAAGGCCCGCATGTTCATCTACTGAACTGGGTCCGGTGATATTATTACACTCTTGTGTGTAATTCTGCTGCATTTTGCAAGATATTCTCAATTTCAGGCTTCATTTTCCACCCTCTGATATCGATCTCTTGATCATTTTATAATGACTAATATAATCAAGAAAAGAGTTCTTTGTCAGAAACTAGTTATTTTATCATGATCATGTAAAGTCTTTGAAAATTATTTTGCATTTTATTAATGTATATACGTAGTTGTAAATTTTTTTTTTGAGTGCTTAAAAAGTACTTAAAAGGTGCTTATTTTTTGTTGAAAGATTTGGATATGCACCCTGCATCAGTATTATATAGGTATATATCAGTATTATATCCCAATACCGTCACATTTTGTTGCCCATACCATCATTTTAGGGTATAATCATTTGTTATGAAATTCCCCGTGGCCGAATCACGGCGATATTGTCGCAGAATGTTACTGAGTTCTTGCAGAAAATTTTTTCCTTTGGGAAGTAAAAAATTTTGGTTTTCTTTTTTTAAAAAATTTTGGAATTATATTTTTCCCTGTCGAATTATATTCAAGAAGCTTTTCGCGTGCATCAGAGGGGAAAGAAATGCTCGCGATTTTTCTATTCTCATTTGCGAAATAAAAATTCAATGACTGACTGTAGCAAAATTTCAGAGGGATAATATAACAAATATTTATATTCTAAAATCACGAAGGTTTAAAAGATAGTGCACTTTTGAAATCATGTTCTTTCCTTTCATATTTTTTAAAGGACACCATCTTTTTCATTTTAATAAAATATGACTATGATTGGGAATTTTGTTACAAATTCAGATTTATAGCAAAAGAATGAGTTAATCAATGCAGTACATTTCCCCTTTTTTTTAAAATTTGGTTGAATAAAACCTATCAAACACGTATATAAAGCACATAAAAATTTTAAATCATGCATTTTAGTCTTCATTTTATCGCTCACAACTACCATCTTAAATATGAGTAGTGTTGATAATTTTTTTCAGCCGTAATTATTGCTATAAATTTATACTTTTTCTTTTCTTTTTTTAAAAAAAAACATTGGTGTTTTTCATTGATCAGATGCTGTTATTAATATTCTCATGATGAAAGAATTTTTTTTTTGAAAAATGCCGATATTATTACGGCACGCTAAGTTTGAATCCCTGATTCATGAAATTACTCCGATTTGCTCCGATATCATCGTTGATCCATACGGTATTTCAATTGATCTTTCAACAGTTATTTCTACAAATTTTCACTTTTAAAAAAAAATCCTCAATTTTTTTAAAATTTTTTTTATTACATACTAAAAACATCATAGCTTATTTAATAATTTACTTTTTTAATACGACGATTTCAAAAATTTTTCGGTAGTTATTGCTAGCACTACCAATTTACATGGGGTTTTTGAAATTCCGGTTATTAGGTGCAACTAACTGTAAATAAAATTTTAAAATGGGCAAATGAAAATGGTTTTACATTCTTACCTCAAAAACACACTGTATGCATTTTGTGTCTTCATATTTAGCGTGGTCTTCATCCCCATCTCGAAATCACTCTAAATAACAACACTATTTCGGTTTTTGAAGAAATAAAATACCTGGGACCAATTTTTGATTCTAAATTAAATTTCAAGCCGCATATTAATTACTTTAGAAAAAATGCTCTCAAACACTAAATATTCTAAAATTTCTCACAAACTGTTCCTGGGGTGCTGATATGGATTCAATGATTAAAAATGTATCGTGCAGTTATATGTTCGAAACTCGACTTTGGCATTCATATATATTCATCAGCTCGTCAGTCTGTTTTAAAGTATCTTGATACCATCCATTGTCAAGGTTTCAGAATCTCCTCATTTGCATTTAGAACTTCCCCTATTGAAAGTCTGTATGTGTTGTGTTCTGAGTCATCTCTTCATTTTGCCATTTTAAACTTTCATAAGATTATTATCTTAAAATTAATTACAAAACATTGACTGCAAAACCCAAATTTTAATTAATAGACTGTGTGTCGGTCATTCCAATTATACGCATAAACATATACTGACTGCTGATCCTGTACCTAGTTGTTCTCTATGTCGGGACAACATAACTATTAAACATATTTAAACTAACTGTAAACTATTCAAGCATTTCAGAAACAAATTCTTTGCCATCTTTTACCCTGATCTTAAATCCTTCCCTATTCATCGCAGTTTTATTAAGTATGTTAAAACGATAGGACTATATTCACTGTCCTAAAAAGAAAGCATTTTTTTTTTAACCTAGTGGCTGGTGTAGGAGCCAGATATGGCATATCTGGCTCTTGTGCATATAAACTCTCATCAACCAACTAAGTACCCGCTTTTCTTTTATAGGCAGAGCTGCGTTTATAGGCATTGGATTTTCTGATAGAGGAGATTCTTTTGATTTGAATGTTACTTTGCAAGAGCATTTTAAGTAAGTGTTTTTTGGAACTGAGATATGTAATCTTCGAATTATGGGTTTTAATATAAGAAGTTTTATTTGTAAGTAATTATGAATTATTTTGAGTTTTATGTTTATTTAAAATTATTAGTAATAATATAACTAATTAGGTTTGTGATAAAGTCTTGATAAATCTTTTTTCTCTCTTATTATATTCATGCATTTTCATGATTTTTTTCTTTTAATGATTTTACTAATTTTAAAATTTGTTTACTAGGACTTTCATTTTAAATAAGTTATAATTTGGTTTTTACTAAAATTATGACTAACTTATTATAATAATTGTAATTCTTTATTTGCTTAATGTGACCATAATTGCATCGAAATTTCCGCCGCAGTCAACTATTTTGTATATTGCTAAAGGAATTTTGCAAAATTCATTTTACCAAAAATCATTCACTAAAACATTGCAGCATCAACTCTTTCAAGGACGTCATTACGACTTCGAAACAAAAATGCACTAATGTTAGTAATCTCATCACTGGAAACCAACTAAAAGAGATAGGCCAGAAAATTATATGAATATTTTTATTGCACTTATTATTTACGCGTCATTTGCCATGGAAGGGCAAAAAAAAAAAAGTTTTTCCAAAATATTACTAAAATTTTTTTTTAGTTCAAAAAAATAGAAAAATCACTCCTACAATTAAAAGCGTTTTTGCTGCAGCTTTCAATGAAATAATAGTGAAAATAAATAAAAGCTAAAATTACAAATTGTAGTAAATTAGTAATTCCTCTTTATATATAGCTCTTAGATTAAATTTCATGTTTTAATAAAGCGTTTAACAGATTGTGAGGTGTAAATTTCTTGTTAAGAATCTTTATATTGCCGAAATTCTCTCTTTTGAATGCATTGCATTGAAAAATATACTGAATCTTTTATTATCGTATATATATATATATATATATATATATACGATAATAAAAGATTCAGTATATTTTTCAATGCAATGGATTCAAAAGAGAGAATTTCGGCAATATAAAGATTCTTAACAAGAAATTTACACCTCACAATCTGTTAAACGCTTTATTAAAACATGAAATTTAATCTAAGAGCTATATATAAAGAGGAATTACTAATTTACTACAATTTGTAATTTTAGCTTTTATTTATTTTCACTATTATTTCATTGAAAGCTGCAGCAAAAACGCTTTTAATTGTAGGAGTGATTTTTCTATTTTTTTGAACTAAAAAAAAATTTTAGTAATATTTTGGAAAAACTTTTTTTTTTTTGCCCTTCCATGGCAAATGACGCGTAAATAATAAGTGCAATAAAAATATTCATATAATTTTCTGGCCTATCTCTTTTAGTTGGTTTCCAGTGATGAGATTACTAACATTAGTGCATTTTTGTTTCGAAGTCGTAATGACGTCCTTGAAAGAGTTGATGCTGCAATGTTTTAGTGAATGATTTTTGGTAAAATGAATTTTGCAAAATTCCTTTAGCAATATACAAAATAGTTGACTGCGGCGGAAATTTCGATGCAATTATGGTCACATTAAGCAAATAAAGAATTACAATTATTATAATAAGTTAGTCATAATTTTAGTAAAAACCAAATTATAACTTATTTAAAATGAAAGTCCTAGTAAACAAATTTTAAAATTAGTAAAATCATTAAAAGAAAAAAATCATGAAAATGCATGAATATAATAAGAGAGAAAAAAGATTTATCAAGACTTTATCACAAACCTAATTAGTTATATTATTACTAATAATTTTAAATAAACATAAAACTCAAAATAATTCATAATTACTTACAAATAAAACTTCTTATATTAAAACCCATAATTCGAAGATTACATATCTCAGTTCCAAAAAACACTTACTTAAAATGCTCTTGCAAAGTAACATTCAAATCAAAAGAATCTCCTCTATCAGAAAATCCAATGCCTATAAACGCAGCTCTGCCTATAAAAGAAAAGCGGGTACTTAGTTGGTTGATGAGAGTTTATATGCACAAGAGCCAGATATGCCATATCTGGCTCCTACACCAGCCACTAGGTTAAAAAAAAAAAAGCTTTCTTTTTAGGACAGTGAATATAGTCCTATCGTTTTAACATACTTAATAAAACTGCGATGAATAGGGAAGGATTTAAGATCAGGGTAAAAGATGGCAAAGAATTTGTTTCTGAAATGCTTGAATAGTTTACAGTTAGTTTAAATATGTTTAATAGTTATGTTGTCCCGACATAGAGAACAACTAGGTACAGGATCAGCANTTTTTCTTTTTGGACACATAACTTTTCGAAAATATTTGTTGGGTTTATTTTTAAAGTACCACCTGTGTTAGTATTTAACAAGATAGTTTTCTTAGTCACCATCGGGTAGTTGTTACTTTTATTATTTTTATTTTGAATGTATTTTGAGTGTATCCAGATACTATTCATTGTCAATTCGTGGTTTGGTCACTTTATGTTGGATTTGACTCTTTCTCTTATAAACTTAATCTGTTAATGGAAATGCCTGAACCTTCTCCAGGTCTAACTTCACTTAAATTCTAATTTTGAGAAATTTTGTATTGATTTTCAAAATTATTTGTTGCACTATTTTTGATTACCATCTTTAATTTGTAATTTTTTCCACTCCGTAAGGGCATTCAAATAACCAAAATACATTTCAGTAACTAAATATAACATTTAGAAGGGAAAAAAAAATTTAAATATATGAATAGCACATATTTTTCTTTTTAAGCACCATAGTAAAATAAAAATTTAAATTTTACTTCTACAATCAATATAATATACACTGTGATATATAGTGCAATATAAAAAGTGATTCATTAAATAATAATTAAATCTATAATCATACTGAATCAAAAGTGAAAAAAAATGTGATAACACTAATTTTTAATATTATTATTTAATTTAAACAAATAATATGATAAACCATTGAATAATAATATCAATAAATGGAAATATTATCAAAATATAAATATCAATAGATAAATATAAAATTATTGGAACAATAAATATTTGGAACAATAAATATAAAATTATATGTTCCAATTTCAAGATATGAGCCTGAATGATTCAAAAGTATTCACGTCTAAAACTTTCGACTGGTATAGAAAATTTTGAGAGTAAATACCAATCACATCTGTATTTAATCACCAATATATCACTTCAAATATTTGATAAATCACGCGCACACGCGAGCGGAATCATAGCCACCACTCGAGATCACATTTTTGGTCATCTTCCGTTCGAGGAAACACAGAAAAACATTCGAGGAAATCCCCGAAAACGAAATCAATTCGATCATATGCTGAACCTTTATCAACCCTCAATGAGACCGACAAGTAGCAAGCAAGTAGAGCAACACAGCAAGCACATGGTGTAAATCCGCAAGAGGCTAATTGTTGATGATAACACACGGTAGGCGAAAATGAAACAAAACAGCGATGATATCAATTCTCTAACGGCGATTCCGGTACAACGGTAGAGGCAACGTCTGGACCCATTAAGGAGGAAAGTCCCGAAATTCTCTTATTTTAATTTTTTGGCATCATATTCTTTTAGTCAGGATAATATCTGTTTCACGAGCAACGCCGGCATCTCCCAAAACTTCATTCGATTGTTTTCTTCTTTCCTTTTATATTTATAAATTTTTTTTTACTTATTTGAAGAAAGCATTTTTAAAAGGAACCAGTGAAAAAAAAAAGTGCCAAACCAACTGCAAAAAATCCTGCAAGGCTTGAAAGGGTAGCAGTCATGGTGAGTGTTGTTAGTCCCCGCAGATAGCAGTTGGAAGGCAAAAAAAATTTTATTAGCTTCACATAGTATATTTAAGACATTTTCTAGCAAAGGCGGAGCTCAAATTTGCACTCCAAAACTGTGCGCTTACGTTTTTATCTTAGGGAAAGTAGCAAAGGAATTTCCCTCTATTTTGTTATATTTGAGGGGAAAAGGGAAGTCCCAATGATTACTATTAGTTTAAGAACTAGCTCGAGTGATTCCCACGTAGTTTAAAAGGGAAGAATGTTTTTATTTAAGTTTATGCATACTTTGGCTAAAAATAGATTTAGAAACAGGATGTGGCTTTTAAAAGTGTGAGAAAGCAGTTCGACTTGAATAATTAATTAGTAATAAAGCAGGAGTTGTTTTATAGCAAAGAAACTAACATAAAAAGAATAATAGAAGCTTTTTATGTTACATATATATATATAGTTGGAATTATACCATTTGTTCAGGTGTCGAGTAGCTCGGTTGGGGGGAGGAGGTAGTAAGAGTTTGATTATTTTAGCATATTAATAATTTATTTACAAACAATATTTACAGACATCAGTAATTGCATCATTCTTTGCATCAGGCTCATTTCGCACACACCCCTACTCTCTCTCTACACATAATTGCACTGCCATCTAGTGGCCAATCATTTTTCTTTTAAAACTTTAATAAAATTAAAGCTTAGTGTTAACAATATATATATCAACAAGATATAAAG